GCACAAAAGTTTCTCACAAGAAATCCTTAAACCCCATAATCAATTAAAGAATAAAAAGTAATATGGTAGAAGAAAATTTGGTGAAGGATGCGCAGAACGAGATGTTTTCGGCAACGATGATGTATCGACAATTTTAGTAGATGTTTTCACCGGAGCTCATCTATACCAACTCGTTTAAGTCATCGCCACTTCGATTGGAATTTATCATCTCTTTTGAGAAGATATAATGAAAACTTTCGTTTGAGTTAAGTCGAATATAACGAGTTGCCTTAGTGAGTTAATTTTTAGTGGACTTGATATTTATAAACATGTTTTTTTACCTTTAATATTTTGCTTATGCGATAACTCACTTATTACATGTTAATTTTCATATTCTCCTTGATCGGACTTTAAACCACGATGATTCTTCTTTGGGCCACGACTCTTCATCAGCAACAAAAGGAAAAATGTTTAGATATGAGATCTAGAGACTCATATATAATAGCGGATAATATTATCTTTAGCGAAAATAAGTATTGTTAGAAGTTAACACGTTGAACACATTCAACATACCAACAACCCCTAATGTTAACCATTTATTAAGTATAATAGCTGATAACGGAAAAAATTAACTCATTGAATCGATTTAAACCAAGTCATTGAGTTAACTAAGTGAGTCAACTCAGTTCCTATTAACTGATCGAATCAATTTAAACCAAGTCATTGAGTTAGCTAAGTGAGTCAACTCAGTTCTTATTGCCTCCTAAACCAAGGCAGTACCATTCAGCCTTCGAAACGATGATTTTCTAGGTAACCAAACGGTTTTTTCCCCATGGTTTTGTTGGAAGAAGTCGGGAGGAGAAAGAAGGAAGACATTGCATAGATTTTATTACTATATCAGTTTATGGGCTTTCTTCATTTTTTTTAGATTTTTTTACAGGGTAGATCTTACAAAGAGAGGAAAAAAAACTTTGATTTTCAAGAAGAGTGATGAAAAATCAGTTGCATTTGCTAGTTGGTGGTTGTTGGGTTTGAGAGAAAGAAAAAGAGGTGGGAGAGAGCGAAAGATGGGAGAGAGAAAGAGCACAATCGTTATTTTATCAAGTAATAGATTGTTTTGAAGTAATAGAGATAATGATAGTTTCAGTTTATCAAAAGTCAAATAGTGTATGTAATATTATCATTGTTATATTCCTAAATATCAAGTTATCTTTCGTTATCCATTGCAACTTCTCTTTTATATAAATATT